TCGAATTTAAAGTGCGGCAATTACCTGAATAAGAAGTATCGTCGTTGAAAGGACAGGCTAAAGCAAGGGGAAATGGAAAAGAGGGCGAATGAATTCCTCCGGTTCCGAGAAAACCGCTTTATCCTGCATCCAGCTGTCAATCGATCCACGCAGCCATAGCTTTACCCTCTTTTCGAAAGTTCTTCGAAACGCTGAGTTCAGTTCAGAAGAGTTGCTGGCTTGGAATGTGCCACGAACTAAAACCGTGTCAGTCTTAAGGTATCCTACACACAGATGGGTGCCTTTGTGATACGATGTAATTGGGCCGAACCTTTGTTCTTATTCCTCCATCTACGACTCACAATTATTGTGCAAAGGTCAAAAGGTGCGGACAGCATAAAAGCGCGAGACATACCGTTTGTGCTTCTAAGAAGTCTCGAAGTAACTCGGTCGCGCCATCTGTCCGTCCCGCCAACAGACATGGCGGTCCCAGTTGAGATGTGCTACGACTTTGTGTATTATGTGCGTTAAATAGACTGTTCCTCTCTTATTCTGACTAATACTTCATTGCTTCTGCGAAGTTCCTTACGCACGACAATTACGGGATTATAGGTTTTAAATTCTTTTCGCGGCTGCATGGTACGTTAATTGAATTATTTTGGTCAAGGAGGGTAGCAATATTAGTATATATTTGCCACAGTGTGTTATATGCACATGATAAATGAATAAGGTCCAGCAATTATTGTTATCCTTGACTTATCCCAGGATAACCGGGACACATGTGTGATCAGTAACATCTATCAAAAACAACTGGTGACATATGCATATTGGAAAGAAATTGATGTCTGTCGATATTCGAAAAACTGTCAGGGAAATAACATGGTAGAGAAATGGAATAACAGAACGAAAAAAATAATATTTTAAAAATATTTCATATTTTAATATAATATTTAGAAAATATTTAATATCCTTGCTACCTCATTTCAACAGTATTTAATAACTCATATTACAATATTCGTACGATATTTAATTTTATAACACAAAATTTGCAACACAAATGATCGAATAAACATCTATATTATCAAGCAAGTAATTTACCATGGAAGTGTCGAAGAACTCCGGGACACTCACGAAACAGTTAGAGAAGTGAAGTAGGGAAACGTAGTAGGGCATCCAATCGAAGAGTCTGAGGAACGTAAATCTTGGACCACTTAATTTCCAAGTAAACGTGCATAAGAAGCCGCGAAAATAAAGATCCAATTCGGATGCTCGAATTTAAAGTGCGGCAATTACCTGAATAAGAAGTATCGTCGTTGAAAGGACAGGCTAAAGCAAGGGGAAATGGAAAAGAGGGCGAATGAATTCCTCCGGTTCCGAGAAAACCGCTTTATCCTGCATCCAGCTGTCAATCGATCCACGCAGCCATAGCTTTACCCTCTTTTCGAAAGTTCTTCGAAACGCTGAGTTCAGTTCAGAAGAGTTGCTGGCTTGGAATGTGCCACGAACTAAAACCGTGTCAGTCTTAAGGTATCCTACACACAGATGGGTGCCTTTGTGATACGATGTAATTGGGCCGAACCTTTGTTCTTATTCCTCCATCTACGACTCACAATTATTGTGCAAAGGTCAAAAGGTGCGGACAGCATAAAAGCGCGAGACATACCGTTTGTGCTTCTAAGAAGTCTCGAAGTAACTCGGTCGCGCCATCTGTCCGTCCCGCCAACAGACATGGCGGTCCCAGTTGAGATGTGCTACGACTTTGTGTATTATGTGCGTTAAATAGACTGTTCCTCTCTTATTCTGACTAATACTTCATTGCTTCTGCGAAGTTCCTTACGCACGACAATTACGGGATTATAGGTTTTAAATTCTTTTCGCGGCTGCATGGTACGTTAATTGAATTATTTTGGTCAAGGAGGGTAGCAATATTAGTATATATTTGCCACAGTGTGTTATATGCACATGATAAATGAATAAGGTCCAGCAATTATTGTTATCCTTGACTTATCCCAGGATAACCGGGACACATGTGTGATCAGTAACATCTATCAAAAACAACTGGTGACATATGCATATTGGAAAGAAATTGATGTCTGTCGATATTCGAAAAACTGTCAGGGAAATAACATGGTAGAGAAATGGAATAACAGAACGAAAAACGTATAAGAATTAAAAACGATATTGATTTAGTACAACATAACGTTGTGTGACTTATAGGTTACGTACAAATATGTTTAAATCGTCAATTAATTAAATCAATTTTTCCTGAGCTGATATGCATGCAAGGTACGGAAATCAAATAACTTTACTTGTTAATTATTGCACGTTTTTTTATTTATTGTTCCAAACAGTATTGTCACCTTTATAGCAGAAAAGTCAGTGACTGAAAGAGGTTAACATTTTTCAAATTATTATAAATAATTCCCCTTCTAAGTTCTCGGAACAGGACAAAGGGACAGAGTTTCTGCAAGCCGTTACAAAGTGATCCAAGGACTCAGCGACGTGACATTCGCTAACTGTCGAATACGTTTCAGTAATTCGACGAACGATGTCACTGATTCTGAACAATGAACGTCTCGTCCCAAACGTTTCCCCTACCCTCTTCATTTTTTTTATACAAATATTCACTCGAGATTCATTACCTAAAAGCCCGGGGGTTGACACACTGACCCGGTTCGACGGCCATTTAAACGAAACCAGCTGGCTTCCCTCGTGATTCTTCGTTTCTCTCGATATACCATGTATTTTACACGACTCGCGTTTCTATCGCGATATCTGTTTCCCTTTTCCCCCATTGAAAGGAAAGAGAGGGAGAAAAATGGGGAAATGGAAGAAAAAATGTTCGCCAGACGTTTAGAGGCGCGACTATCGATCGCGATACGAGGCACCAGGCGCCACCCTATTTTGGAACGGGCCAGCGAAAGGTTCAAGTTTAATTACGCGGCCGTCTCGTGTGCGAATTAATTTCGCCACTCGCTGTTGCTCCAGTCGAATTATGTCCTCGTGGTGGAGGTCTCGATTTGCGAAAAAATCGCTAACGTGGATTTCCCATGGGGATAGAAACGTTGACGTGAGAAACATTGAGATAGGATGGATATTAGCTGCTGGATTTTGGGCTCGGAGATAGAGATGTTCAGGTCTTACGAAATACGCCGATGCTCGTTCCTTGGATACAATGGATGGTTAATGGTAGTATATTTCATAAGGTATAGCGCCATTTTCTAACGATAAATAGTTAATTTCACATGTCCATGTTATGTTTCTATCAGTCAAACTCTCTCACTAAAGGCATCCTATTTTTAATTTCCAAAATTGACCAAATTTTGCTCTGATATTTATCAAGGTAGGAAAGTAACCTAACCCAGTTATTTCCATACTGACACTTCGATTATTATCGGATAGAGGGATATTTGAGCACACATTATGTCCATAATCAGCGGATCCGGAGTTAAAAATCCTGTTCCACCTTACCCTCTGACCATTATATCATTATGCCTCCCACCAAAACTCTCTCACAAAATCAAAAAGTGAAAAAGAAGCATGAACGTCAGAACAGCCCTTTAGTACGTACACCAGGAGAGCAGTCAGGCAAGCCAAGCGACCGCCCCACGAATTCAGCCCGTTCGTGGGACGAGCTAGCCGTTACATCGCTTACCATGCATAAGTCCGGAATCCTCTTAGAGCGACGATAAAAAGATTTCCACGGTAAGTTCGCGGGATCGTGCTCGTAAGCACTTTATATTTTCACGTTTAGGGATCGATATAAACGGCCAAGGAGGAAGGAGGTTGGCGGAAGTGAAGGAAGGCCAGCCAGCTAGCGCTATAGCGTTGCTTCTGGGGCTCGAGTAAATTAGTTTAGTTTATAATTTCCACACACCGCCCAGGCGCTCATGAGAATGAATGGGCGGCTGCTTCGGTGTCGGACTGGCGTCGTTTCGACGCTAAGCGACGCCCGACGTCGCTGACGTACGTGTACGTATGTATGTGCAGTCGCTAAGTTCAACGGAGTTATGGCTTTATTATGCCTCTGACACGCTACCTTATTAGGTTACTCGCAACTTGAACGCGGGATAAAGAGAACGAAACGAGGTGTGCACGAGGGTTTTTCGTTACCCTTCGTTACACCCCCTTTGGAGATAGGTGCTCGTGAGTTGTTCAGTCGGGTGGTTCAGTGGGGCTGTGTAGAATCTGCGAGGATGGGGAAGATTCTGCGAGGATGATAGATCACCTTCGTTAAAATTTTTGAAAGATCTTCTTTCATAGAGTTGGCCCGGTAGGTTAATTATTGCGAAGTCCAAATGGTGGATATAGAGATGCAGGAATAATTAATAATTTTCTAATTGTAGGCCCGTTTCTTGTATAATGTGGCTATGAGACGATAGCAGATGGAGACTGCATGAACCTTGTACTCGTTTCTCTTGTTGGTCAGCAAAACTGATAAGAAGCTTAACAGATGGACTTGTCTAATTTAATTATTCGCTTTTGGAAATTATTCGTCTGTGTTGACTCGATTAGTTTGAAACTTGGACCTACGTATGCCACAGATAATTTTCATGGTCTAAGGATATCTTGAGATAGAAAGTGAATTAATGCAATCGTGTCTGGACTAACATGTAATATTCCAAATTTTAGGATAAGGACTGTAATAATGGACACTTTATAGAGGGGGAATGAAGAAATGGATTACTCGGTTTTTCTGTATTTCTATCCATACGAGTGTTCAAATACAATCTCATAGCCCTTTATACAATACAATATTTTACAGTAAAATATTTTAAGGATGTTGTTATTTCCTTTTTCAATTAAGTTTCTAACTTAGTACCCAAGGAAGTCAGCACAGGTTTGCACGATTCGTTTCACTAATATACTTATCAAATTTCGTTAATCAACCGTACAATTTTGCGGTACGTGCGAGATTATGGCAGAATGAAATTGCGATGAAGGAAATTCAGGAGACACGACAATAACCTGACCATATTTAACGTTTCGTGCTAAATAGTTCTGAACGAAAGTACACTCACCCGTGATAAGCAAGAAATGACAATAAGAAGAAGATGCACGCGAGGACGTCAGCTCGACCAACGATGCCGGTCACCTGAAACAAAGAAAATTCCAATTTCAATAAAAAATTTCATTAAAAAATGTCATTAGGATAGGAGATACTTTCTTATTTATATCTAAGCCGCACACCGTCAAATACCTTCGAATCAGTGCATTTGCCCTCCCATGGATCACGTCAGCCACACGGCCACAACTCCCGGAGGAACTCAAGCGACCAGTTTATCGAGAAGATATTATACCGGAGGGGTAGCTCCCTAGATCCTCGACAGAGACGAGGACCAGAACGAGGAGGGTACAATGGACGTCCAAGCCACCGCGACGATCCTTTCGGGATGTACAGTAGGCGGTGGAATGAAATTGGATTTAGCGGTGTAAAACGAGAAGGCGACACGCCGGAAGGCAATGGCGAGAAGCAACGAGGGGATTTCTTTCACGGCACAAACGATGACGAACATGAGCCACGAGAGCCAAAGGAACGGACGAATTGAAAGAGAAGAGAGGCTGGCCAAGATATTGACAGCCCGCTGCCAGTGAATGACCCAGCTACTCGGAGATCGCTCTGGACCGGCGACTTCAGGGTATGTACTAAGATCCTCGAGGATCGCTTGGAAGCATTGGTCAGTGTGTGTGTGTGTGCCTCTGGATCACCAGCCACCTTTCGTTCCTTGCCTTATGTATCTTTGTTCCCTCCCGTTCCTCTTTTCATCCGCCACCATTCACAAGGGGCAGCTGCGTCTAAGAAACTCACGGATAGCTCAAACGTCGCCAACGAATTAATTCTGAGATCTGGATCCGTGACACGGATAGGAACCCCTGGTCGAAACGAAAAGCCGATAGTTCCTGTTAATTTTGGGGTATCAGTAAAGGGATCTCGTTTCAGGAATTCGCATGGAACAGTAGAACAAAATTCCTATTTGGATCTTTACGTCTCTGCTGAGGCCTGTCATCATCGTTATGAACTTGCTGAGGTGATCTATGGGAGGACTGAAGAGTAGGACTAAGTATCTTTGTTGTTGGCTATCAGTGAGGCCCAAGGGTAGAGATTAGAGACGAGGACTATTCATGCTGGTCCTGTAATCTCTTTACGAGTCGTCTTCTGAAATCTGCACAGTGTTACCACTGCTTATAGAAAACCGAAGGAAGAAGTAAGAGTGGAGAGAAGTTCGGAATGAAGATGAAACACGTTCCTAATTCCTTGCTAATTTTCGAGATTATCCTGCTCGATAAATGAGAATTGGAATAATAATGGCAGCCAAAGGAAGAGAGAGGACACGTCTATGTTTCCTGATGTATCTCTGACTCTTTCAAGGTATTGTCCACCTGATTTAACAAACAATATCAGCTGCATGCGCGGGGCCAGATGCCTCAAAACGTATCACGTCATTAATTCGCAGAAATGGTTCATTTTGTTCAATTTCAGTCGATGAACAGTGAAATCGGGCGTGCGTCAAGTACTCGTGATGTCGCATCTTCCATTTGGCTACATTAATTTCTCATCGACACACCATGATTAACAACGCTCGCTGGTGCAGCTATGCATATTCTCCGTGTTCGAAAAATGATTAACGTTTGTCTGGGAAATTTCGAAGTTTCCCCGATGCCATTAAATTCTCATCATTATTAACTGTCCCGTACGGCAATAAATTACGTCACCGTTAATGAAGCACCGCTACACACGCTCGATCCGCTAATTTCATACGTTTTATAGACGGTTCAAGGATGCACACGGGAAGCAAAACCGATACAGTTCCCGATGTTATTATTAAATTCCGACTGTAATTACGCCCGTGATGGACATTGATGAATATGACTTTCAGCGTGGCCGTTACCCCAGAAAGCAATAAATCACTCTGAGGATGATAAAAGAAAATGGAAAGGTGGCTACGATGATATCGATCTCCTGCTTTAAGGAGGAACACCTCGATGAAACGTTAATTGCATTCGCAATGCTTGTGGCAGTGGTGTCAAGATCATGCAAGAACGGGCCAACAAGTATAGTTTTCCGAATCTGCGAAGAACTTCAGTGCCCAAAGAAATCTGTAAATGAAAGATATATTTAAAGTCCCATGTTACTTTGGTAAAAGCAATTTTAAATTTTGGTCTGGAGGCTGCATTTTAAAGTGTCTGACACCGCGTGCTCAGATTTCGATAAATTTTATGAAATACACTTTTAATTATACCAATATTCGGACAATTATTATTTAAGTTATATGGTTAAATACTTTTGTTGAATGTTTTGTACATATACGTGTAAGTACGTAAGTAATACATACGATTTTTCATGTAGCATCTTGCAAAGAGTTTCAAAGTTCAGGTTAAATTAATTTCCTTAAGTGCACACTTACGTATATGTACGGATTCCTTGTCGCAGTAGAAAATTACGTTCAAATTGATAAATGGAGCATTTAAAAGTCAATATATTCGTAGCTCTCGTGGAATCGAAACAACTTATCGTTGATGATTTTTTTTTAATTAAAAAAGGTTTTTTGTCAAGGAACGAAAATTACTCTATCTTAATTTAATCTCAAATCCGGATACAATAATAACGCTTGCCTAATCGAAATGTAAATATGCTTTATCTTTATTGCCCGTCGTGATTCTCGCGTGTTCATCTAATAATCCAATTTTCCCAAAAATTCTCCAATCATTAGCAAGAATCGTTCTTGTCTTGGATCATCCCGCGGCGATACTACGCTACACGCGTGACGTATCGCGTTTTATGAGTTATTGCAGCGATTCAGGGCAAGAGATTCATCACAGGTAAATGGGGCCAGAAACGAAATCGGTATAAGATAAACAACAAGTTGACATTTTCCCAGGATCCTGTCCTTCGTTCTCTTATCTACCCTATCCGCTTAGTGGAAGACTGAGGAAAATCTCGGCCGTGGAACAATACTCCGTCAACGTCAAGGGGATGAGAAAGGAGTCGAAAGTGGCCTTGTCGAGGACCAAGGAGCCATAAACGAAGGGTCTACTTAAGATAACAGAGATTACTCTGGCCACTTTGTGATAGATTCTTTCGCGCGCCTTCAATGTCCCCTGAACTGATGGCCAGGGATAATGGGTAATTTCGAAAAAAACACCAACCGACGATTATCCTAAGTGGCGGCTACAGGATTTTCTCTGAGCGAGGTCGGGAGAAGAGGAATTAAAATGGAGGCAGTGAAAATGAGAGAAAATTCTGGGGCTCTGCTGACACATTCGTCTAACTTTAAAACGAATGTCGAAAGGTCAATCCGTTTCTGGACAATGGGAACCATTTTGAAATAACCTTTGATATTATCCTCCGTATAAACCTCCCGCTTATGAATGAAGAATTACATTGAGGTATAAGTAATATTACTATTTCTATTCCTTGTTTTTGGTAAAGACCAATTATTTAATTTTAAATTGAAGAATGTTGGTACGATAATTATTAGAGAATATTAAGTCTTACTGTTATTGTAAGGTTCATACTCGAGACTATTCCATTATGAAAATATTCTGCCCACGCAAAAGGAACGAAAAATAATACGAACATAATCGTAAAAGTATTTTCTTGTATTCCATAATGAGCAGAGTAAAAGCATTCTGTTAATTTTCTCAAAACGAAAAATTTGCGTTCGCTTTTAGAATTTCCATAGTATTGTCTAGCATTCTGGCGCTTCCATCTGACCAACGACGACTACCGACTTTCGAAACACCGAGGATAACACTCACTAGAAGCCCCAAAAACAATCTTCCACAAACTTCGCTGTTACCCTCGTCTTATCCACTTCCATTGACTGGAGTCACCACGCAGGTATTATTTCGATGCTATTCGAAGTAAGGATGAAATTGTACGACCCAGAGATGCAAGATAGCCTAACGAATCCTCGAGTCGTCGAAGATCGCTGATTCTCGCGGAAGTAGGTAGGCTGAAGTAGACTCAGACTAGAGGATGCGGTGGTTGATACGTTCGAGTCGACGGCAGTTTGCTCCAGTTTGTACTTAGCTCAACTCCATTACCATCTCGCTCGTTCAAGAGTTCTAATTGATTATATGAGGCGGTAGTTCCGTAGGAGTTGGCTCGTTACTCGGTGGTGGCTTATCCATCCGCTCTTCTTCCGCCTCCGGTTTTCCCTCGCGACTCCTCGTCGCTCTTTTATACAAGACTGCGTTCCTTTTAGTTTCCACCGCCTTTCCGTACTCGCAGGCGCGCGTAATTAACGGCACAACTCTGGGGCCAGAATCGTTGAAACGGCCGCTTCCCCTTTGACACCGTGCAACTCTGCCGTGTAACGCGTTTACCTAGCCTCTTTGGGTGGCCTGCTGTCCTCGAACGCTTGGCAAGCTAACGAGTATCTGTTTCGTCGTTAGCCTCGTGTGCATGCCATGGATTTGCTTCATTATTTATGTAATAAGTTTAAATTCCACTGTGGAAGAGATTTCCTAAGGGTATAGCCTGTTATTCGCCGTGAAAGCGTAGAAAGATAATCGTGAGAAGAAATTGTTGGTTTAAGCGGGAATAGTTAGAGTGCAAGGTGGCGCTAGTTGGCACTGGTTAAAGCACTGGATGAAGGACGCTATTGCAGCGCCACTGCCAGCTACGAGACGTAAGCAACGATGCGCCCAGCGCTACCTGCCTTAGTATTGATATACTTATTTGCTTGACGTCGCCCATATCAAATTATAAGCACGAGGCAAGATAGGTTCGTGAAACATGTTTGACGTTTTTATTATTCCAGTAGTTCATTAAATTTTTGAGGCGATTCTAAACCCTCACGTTTAGTTAGTTAGGATTTTATTGCTAGTACTGATATGGTTATTCGATGTTTTATCATAAATTCTTTATTATTGTCTAGTGTTGAAAATAAATTAAGCTTTTTGCCATAAGTAGCTTATAATTTTTCATAGATAATGATGAATTGCAACTACCAGTGTGTTGAATAGTGTCTGATTTTATTTCAGGAAACAAAATTCATCTTCGCACGTTTGTGAAGTATTCACTAAATTAATCTTAAATATGATTACGAGAGTCTCACTCGAATCAGTAAAGCTTTCGATTGGAACAAA